TCAATGTAATCATAAGTTTTGTGATTTGTATAACTTTTGAGTAATGCATGATGTCTTAGGCCCTTTACTCTATGGCAAGCTTGATTAATGCTTCTGCTGGGCCCTACTGATAAAAGCTATGAGATGCCTCTGATACCTGGCACCAGGAAGTCTGGACCAAAAAAATGTCAGTATCGATAAATGCGGCTGAAACTCAAGTTGTATACAATGCTTTACTGATCGCGTGGCTATTGTATAGGTACTAACAACTCTGGACTTATAAAATTGATCTGTAAAAGCCTGGAGGGTGGGCAGAACCATTTTAGAAAGACCTCAAATCTGGCTCTGCTCCCTGGATTTGAACTCAGAAATAAACTTCCTTCTTTCAATTCCCTGCCTCTTTGATTTATTGGTATCAAGAGGAGCAGACAAGCATTACTCAGACCATAACACTTCACCTGAAGGCTCAACTGGCATTGGAGTATGCTATTTATTTTCCTTTGCCAACAAGTTATTTATCAGTAAACAAAGAAAACTATAGTTGCTTTTCATACAGTTGCTCACAGTTTTACTTTTCAATATAAACCCACAATTATTTGCAAAGGAGACCTTGAATCCTTCTAACATGTTCTGAAGATTTCTGCTGGGAGTAGCTTATGACAGATGAATGCCTTCTCTTTGAATTTTCATCATCCCCCCTCAAGAAGTGTTAGGGTCACTCTATCACTGGGGCCTCCAGAATGTTAGGTCAGGCCTGCTGGGGGTGTGGGGTGTCTAGTGTACAATCTGATGCCACAAGAAAGATGCAAAGAATTGCACAGAAGTTAGATTAGAAAATATAGTTTATTTAGACAGTAAATTAGAGAGAGAAAGAAAGAGGAGATTCATCTCCCCAAGGTAGGAGAGGCCACACCATAGCTTAGCAAGACAATGGCAAAATGACTGCTCATCACTGAGATCTTCTAACCTTACCCTTTGATGAGGGAAGGTTATTAAGGTGATTGGGTGGTGGTCTGCTCCACATCATCACAAAGGGGCAGGTAAAGTGATGATGTCAGGTGATGGACAACAGATGGGTGGGTTAGTCATATGATTGCTACCATGATGGTGGGCTAGATAGGAGGAGACAAGGGGAGGGCATTTTCCTGCAAGAGACATTTTTAATCCACAAACTCCTTGACCAAAGGTTGACCAGCCAAGGGGTGATCTTTGATTCTCCGTCTTGACAAGGAACCTGACAAGTTTCCTAGAGACTATTATCTTAAACCATGAATTGAAAGGTTGGGCAGTCCTGGTCTTGCATCTAATGGAGATTTGCTAAGGGGGTGGGGTAGGCTGCTGCTTGGCCTGCAGTAGAATGTCTGAACGCTTTCTAAAACCTGCCTATTAGAAATTTATATATCCATGTCTAACCTGCGCTAGATTCAAAGCATGTCAGGGGTAAAGTCTAAGCAAAAATGGCTTTGCTGAGGCAAAAAGACTACACTAAACTAAGTTTATTCTAGGTTTCTTTAGGTACCTCCTTTCAGGAAGCTTCTTCACCTCCCTAAGTCCTTTCTGTATTCTGGCCATCTTTCTGTTTCTCTCTCAGTAGGGTTTTCTCTGTCTCTACCTCCTGTGGGTTATTGAATGAGGGTCAATTGCCCTGGATAATATGAGGAGAAGACAGATCCCTGCCTTGAGGGAGTTTCCACCCAAAAGATAGGCATCAATCACACGATTTCCAATGATTAATTAAATGATTGCTAGTGTGTTTAAAAAACAAACAGTCCAGATGAGGTAGCTCACACCTATAATCCCAGTGTTTTTGGGAGGCCAAGGTGGGAGGATCCCTTGATCTCAAGGAGTCGAGAAAATCATAGGGAGACCCTGTCTCTACAAAAAAATTCAAAAAACTAGCCAGGTGTATTGGCATCTGCCTGTAATCCCCGCATCTCGGGAAGCTGAAATGGAAGGATCGCCTGAGCCCAGGAGGTCGAGACTGCAGTGAGGCATGATCATGTCACTGCACTCCAGCCTGGGTGACAGATTGAGGCCTTGACTCAAAAACAAAACAAAGCAAAGAACTGTGAAGGTGCTATAGAAGCATATGATGGGATCTCACCTGGTTTGCTTTGCTTGATTAGCACTTTCCCTTTTGTGTTTTGTAAGAGGGTTAAATTACCTTTGGGGTTTTTGACAAAAACCTTTTCTCTCCTGGGCAGAAGCATGGAAGCTCTTCTGCATCCCACCCTGCATAAAACACTCACATCCTCCCACTGTGGAGGTTCCATGGAAGCATGCAGTACAGTAGGGTCATCTCTTTGATTTTATGTGAAAAAGCAGCTTAGGTTTCATCTAAATTCAGCTGACCATAAGAAAGGCTCTTGCCTTTCTTACTGCCCATCTCTTGCTTTCCCAGAGCCCCCAAATGCCCCAATGTCTTCTTGCTCATCCCATTCCCCCTCTTCCCCTATCCAATCTTTGAAAAGGTGTAGTGTGACACAGTGGTGGGAAGAGAGTACTCTTCTGGGCCCTTTTTATTTTGAGCATTATTTCTAATTGGAGAAGAGAAAGCTGAGTACAGGGAGTTTGACAGAGGGATTCAGCTATGGAAACCTGAAAGAGGAAGATGGAGATGACTGCTTTTGATCCTCGGTGAGCAAATTAACAATCCACCTCATGCACTTCTCTGTCTCTGTCTTCTTCCTATCTGTGAGCCATGACGGAGTCTGCCCTGGGCGATCATTGAATTGGGACGCCATTGACAAGATCCCATGAATTTTCATAATCTTTGCCCCACCCCTAGATATTTGTTATATTTTAAAACAACTTAATATATATAAAATATGCAATAATTTACATTTTTACCTTGCTGCTTTTAAAATTATTTTTAATTTAATTTAATTAAATTATTTTTAATTATCTGAGTACTTTTTAAAGCTTTTTTTTTTTTTTTTTGAGTCAGAGTCTCATTCTGTCATTCAGTCTGGAGTGCAGTGGCACGATCATGACCACCATAGCGTCCATCTGCTGGGCTCAGGTGATCTTTCTGCCTCAACCTTCCAAGTGGCTGGAACTACAGGCATGTGCCACCATGTCCAGCTAATTTTTTGATTTATTGTCGAGACAAGGTGTGGCCAAGTTGCCCAGGCTGGCCTTGAACCCATGGGCTCAGCAATCCTATCGCCTCCAACTCCCAAAGTGCTAGGAATACAGGGGTGAGCCACCACGCTCAGCAAGGCTTTTTTATGGTCATTCATTACTTCTGTCTGCCCCAGTCATCTTTTTCCCCTAAGTTCTTTCACTGTAACCTTTCCAGCCCTGATCATTTTCCGAGCCCACACTCCCAAGGTTGGAGAGGGACTGATCGTCTTCTCATTGCTGTATAATTTTCCTGAGAGAGTCTTAGGGTATCAAAGGAACAACTAAATCAAGAGTGTGTGCTTTTGAAGGGTGAATCTAATATCTTTGTTATTTTGCACTGCTGTAAGGGGATACCTGGGGCTGGGTAATTTATGAAGAAAAGCAGTTTATTTGGTTCACAGTTCTGCATGGCACAAGCAACTGCTTGGCTTCTGGTGAGGCCTCAGGAAGCTTTTACTCAGGGCAGAAGACAAAGGGAGATGGCATGTAGCATAGTGGGAGCGAAAGCAGGAGAGGGAGGAGGTGGTGCCAGACTCTTGTACACAATCAGTTCTCTTGTGAACTAACAGAGTGAGCACTCACTCATTACTGAGGAGAGGGCACAGTCATTTATGAGGGTTCCTTTCATAAGGGTCATCATGAGATGACCAGGCATCTCCTACCACATCCCATCTCCATCTCCGGGGATCACGTTTCAACATGAGATTTGGAGTTGACACCACCCAAACTGTACCACATAGCATTCATACCAGCTGGTAGGAAAAGCCCAGCAATAAAAATAGTGTGTATGTGGGGCAGGGGCAGGGAGTGGGACATACTACTTCTTCACGGGTGTTGAGACCCTAGCCTCATCCCTCTAGAGGCTCAGGGCTGGCACACTGCTACTTTCACCTGCCAGTAAATGAATATAAATTAAATTAATTTGAATGGTAAATCTGCAATTTAACCTTGAACTCCCATGCTCTCCCTTGAATGTGTCATTACTGTAATATATTGAGTTGTATGACCCTCCCCAAAACTCCCACCACCACCACCTCCTAACACCTGAACACACAGACTTCTGGGTTTAACAGATAGCATCCTGAAGGGGAGAGAGCTTTCTCATGATGGAATTTTTATTGCTGCCAAACAGATTTCCCAAAGATTATTATCCTCATGTTATCTTTGAAAGTGACTATGCTTATCTTTTTTCTCACTGCTTCATGTTCTTTTTTAAAAATGTTTTCAAGGAAGGATTTAGAGTGGGGAGGGTGAGAAGATGTGTAAGTACTAAAAATTTGGACAAAGAAGTGGGGTTTAAGGCACTTAGTATCTTAAAGTTTGTCTAGTCTGGTCCCATTTTACCTGCCCTGTGAGTCAGTGACACTTGCTTTTACGCGGCATATTATTCAAAGCGATTGCTGTAAACCTGTCAGTCCCACAGTGAGCATTCATTGTGTTTGAACAGTGGTCCAATTAAACCAGGATCCCCTATCTCAACTTTTCTAGTATTTATGCATAAACTAGCATCTTTGAGGGAAAAATAACATTTAATATCTTTGTTATGGTATTATGTATATGTTAATAATGTAATTCATATTTGCTTAATACCTGAATGTTAGTTGTATTTTTGAGGTATTTCCCATTATCGTGGCATATATATATATTAATGTTTTACAGTGTATACATTCTGGCAACTGTTTATCAAAGTAACTAAACATGATTCTTTCAGATTTTTGGCCTAAAATTCCTATACAGAGGTTTTTTCATGTACTGAAAACAAAAAATTGATGACTGTAAATTTAGGCTTAATTGCAACAGCTCTTAATTTGAGGTTGCATAGCTGAAGACATTATTGCTTTTAACAGCAACATTTTTCTTCTTCTAATTTGATTTTCCCCCTAATATTTTATTAGGTGCAGAGAGAGCTAGCAGCTGTGATTGCTTTGAAAGCAAGGAAGTCTGGTGAGTAGTCTTTTATGGGGCTGGAAGATTTGAATCCTTTGGGAATATTTCACATATCATCTGGATATGTGTAGTTTATATTTCAGAAAGCTTCAGCATGGAATGCAAGAGGTATCACCATTTGTTTTTAAAATGACTTATTCTGCCATCAAAATAGCATGGACTGTATAGTTCTTTATGGAAATATTTCACTGCTTTGCTCTAATTTATTTCAGATTTAAAAAAAAAAAAGAAATTTAAGATTAAAAATGTTTGTATCCACTGCACCTATGAAAAAGGATCTAAGTATGTACAAATGCAAGCCGATCCCCTGTATTAAGTATCTTAATGACAGAGGACAATAAATACTATAGAGGTGGTCTTTTATAAGGCAGTTTAAAAAAATCTCAAAGTAGTTTTTTCTAAGAGTAATTTAATTGCTTAAAGACATTCCAAAGCAAATATTTTTCATAGCACTAATTGATGGATCTGATTCCTATAGGATATAATCTGTGGAAGTAATATGTGGAAAGGAAAAGGGGGCTTTCAAAGATGTTTTAAAGGAGAAAAAAACACACGCTTTGCTGAAATTCAATATAAAATGGAGACTCACTGAAGTAGAAAAATGCTTGCTTAGAGAGAAAGAATGTCAGAAAGAGGCATCCTTAGCTGTTCCTCCCTGTTCAGAGAGAAGAGGTCAGTGCTGAATGGAATGAAAATCGGAAGGGAAGTACTTCTTGGATAATGGTAAACTAGAATAAGACTTTTCAGGTGGAAAGACTATGACAAAATCAAAGTGATGACAAAAACTTGAAGAGATAAATGGAATGGAAATGTCTCAAGAGCACAAGCCATACACTTTATATCTTTCTTTTTCTTGTTAGAAACTCTAAGAATTTGCTTTTCTCTCAGTTACTATTTTAATCCAGTGCATCTTGGTGTGGATTAGCTTATTATATTCTTGTTACTTTCTTTGTTGGTTTGACAGATGTTGAGGACACAGAGACTGGATGTTAGTAAGGTGGTGGAGGGAACAATGCAGGGAACAGGGATCTTATTATTGAACAGAGGGTGGCATGAATAGCATTCTTCAGTGAACAGCATTATATTGGCAGAGGTGGAAGCCAAGATGGAGAAAGGACATCAGTATAAAGATTGTAGGAGGGAAATGCAAATGAAAACCACAATGAGGTATCCTCTCAACTCAGTTAAAATGGCTTTTATCAAAAAGACAAAGAATAGCAGATGCTAGTGAGGATGCAGAGAAAGGGGAACTCTCATACACTGTTGATGGGAATGTAAATTAGTACAGCCATTATGGGAAACAGTATGGAGAGTTCTCAAAACACTAAAAATAGAACTACCGTATGATCCAGCAATCCACTACTGGGAATATATCCAAAAGAAAGGGAATTAGTATATCAAAGAGATAGCTGCATTCCCATGTGTTTTGCAGCAGAATTCACAATAGCCAAGGTATGGAATCAACCAGTGATCATCAGTGGATAAATGGATAAAGAGGGTGTTGTCTGTACATAATGTAAAAACACATAATGGAATAGTATTCAGCCATTAAAAAAGAACAGAATGCTGTCATTTGCAACATCATGGTTGGAACTGGAAGACATTATGTTAAGTGAAATAAGCCAGGCAAAGAAAGACAAATATCATCTGTTCTTACTCATGTGGGAACTAAAAAAGTGGGTCTTATGGAAGTAGAGGGTAGAATGATGGTTAGTTACAAAAGGTAGGGGGGCACAAGAGATAAAGAGAGCATGGTGTTTGGGTGCAAAAATATAGTTAAATTGAAGGAATAACTTCTAGTGTTCAGTAGCAGAGTAGGGTGGTTATAGTTATCAACAGTGTATTGTATATTTTAAAATAGTTTAAAGAGAAGATTTGGAATGTTCTCAACATGAAGAAATGTATGTTTGAGATGATGGATATCATATTGGATCATCATTATTTGCATGTATCAAAATGATCTCAACTATCTCATATATATGAACAATTAGGTTTATCAAAAAAGTCAATTCTAGATAAAAAGAGTGTAGGGGGGAGAGTTTAGAAATAAATTGTGCTGGAGCTGATCTTCGTTCTTGTCATGATAAGGAGACAAGTGTATAATCTCTACAAGTTGAGAGGGCAGTACCTTATAGGATAAAATTTGATTATTTTAAACTTCAGAATATGGTAGGGAAGTAATCAAAAGCTTATGGTATCGTTGCTGAAGAAAGATAGAGCAAGTAAATACAGATGGGGAAGAGGTTGAATGGCTTACACAGTGGGATGGAAAGGCTTTTGGTAGGGAGACCAACACCTGAGGTCAGTGAGGGAGTGAATACCCCTCACTGTGAATACCCACAAGAGCATTTGGGCAGAGGCATTTTGTCAAATGTGTTTGGGAGGCAGCAAGGACGGAGTGTGACAGGAGGTGAGTGAGTGAGGCAGAGAAAGGTGGGTCTGAGATGTTGGACTGAGAAGTCTGAACTTTCTAGGGATGAAGGGAAATGAAGATGAGAAAGCAAGATCCATTCCTGTTAACTTGCACAACATAAAAGATTGGTGGGAAGTCAATTGTATTTTGCCTTGATGTCACTGTATGAGATGACCAGCTCTGTGTTCATTATTTATCTGATCTGTGGAGCTTGGAATGTGAATACAATTTTGGCAATTTCTCAGGGACAGTGTGATGTGATTTCACCCACATGTACTAAACTGAATTTATAGTTTTTCTTGAAAGTAGTTGTTCAGTATGTTCCAGTAACTCTGATCCATAGTACTCTGTGGCTGGAGATTTGTCTGTAGAACATATCAGAGATGCATGTGAAGATTAAGATTAACGTAGAGACAATCTATTACATTGCTTTTTTAACAATAAGAAAGTAGAACCAATCCTTAAGTCTCTATCATAAGAAAATGGTAAAATTGATGGAGCAATATGATAGAACATTAAACAGCTTTTAAAATGATGTTTTGAAGAATTAATATAGTAAAATATTCAGAGAAAAAAACCATATACAGTAGCATGTATTGTCTTTGTCATGATGAAATAGCTTCATTTTTTTCTTACCATTATAATAGAGTAGGCTCATTGAAAAAAACTTTTGTAAAGGGCAACCCCCTCGGGTCCCCTCCCACTGTGGGAGCTTTTCTGTTTTCTGTCCTCTCAATAAATCCTGCTTTCTAAAAACAAAACAAACTTCTGTAAAATACATGAATGTATGAAGAACTAGAAAAATCACATATCATCTCACCAACATAGATAAAGATTCATACTCTTTTGTTGTATTTCCAGACATTTTCTGGTAATATACAGATATTATTATATATTAATATGCAGATTTTTATCAAAGTGGGATCATTTCATATGTGTGCCTTTATTTTGAGACAATTGTATATTCTCATGCAGTTGTAGTAAATAATACATACAAATCCAGACTATCTTTTACCTGAGTTCCCCCAATGGTAACATTTTGCAAAACTATAGTATCATAACCAGGGTATTAACATTTCCATCACAACAAGGATCCCTCATGTGGCTCCTTTATCACTACTGACTTGCCCCTCCTCTGTTTCATCCTAACCCCTAGTAACCCCTACTCTGTTCTCTATTTCTGTCATTTTCAAAATATTATATAGATGGAATCAGACATGTGACCTTTCAGTATTGGCTCTTTTCACTTGGCATGACTTTCTGAAGATTCGTGCAGGTTGTTGTATAGTATATCAATAGTTTGATTCTCTTTTTATTGCTGAATAGTATGTCATGGTATCATGGTATCAATATACCACAGCACTTTTATTTGTGTTCCCACTGAAGGGCTTTTGGGTGGTTTCGAGGTTTTTGGCTATTACAAATTAAGCTGCTACAAACATTCGTGTACAGGACTTTGTGTGATTCCAAGTCTTCATTTCTCTAGCATAAATACCCAGGAGTACAATTGCAGGGTAGAATGTTAGTTGCATGTTTAGTTTTTTGAGAGATAGCCAAACTGCTTTCTAGAATAGCCATGCCATCTTTCCATTCTCACTTGCAATCTATGAGTGCTCCACGATTTTTGCATCCTTGCCAAGATTTGATGTCATCACTATTTTATTATTATTATTATTATTATTATTGAGTTGGAGTCTCACTCTGTTGCCCAGGCTGGAGTGCAGTGGCACTCTCATGTCCACCGCAGCCTCGACCTGCTGGGCTCAGGTGATCCTTCTGCCTCAGCCTTCCCAGTAGCTGAAACTACAGGCACACACCACCATGCTGGGCTAAGTCATCACTTTTTTAAAATGTCAGCCTTTCTGATAGGTACATAGTACATAGTGATATCTCATTGCAGTTTTAATTTGTATTTTCCTGATCTCTAATGATGTTAAACATCTTTTCATGTGTTTATTTGCTATCTGAATGTTGTGTTTGGTGAAATGTTTGTTCATATCTTGTTGCTCATTTTTTAATTGGATTTTTTTCTATTGATATTTGAGAGTACTTTCTGTGTTCTTGGTACTAGTCCTTAGTTGGTATTTGGTTGGCAAATGTTTTTTTTTCTCCCAATCTGTAGCTTGTCTGTCATTCTCTCAACAGAGTCTTTCACAGAGTAAGGATTTTTAATTTTGATGAAGTCCAACTTATTAATTTTAATGGTTTTTTTTAAATGTCTTTGAGTTAAATCTAAGAACTTTTTATCTAGCCTGACATCCTAAAGATTTTCTCTTATGTCTTTTTTCCCCTTAAAAGTTTTATAGTTTTATGTTTTACATTTAAGTACATGATACATGATCTTTGTCGGTTTTGATATATAATGTATGAGACTTAGGTCAAGGTTTTTGTTGTTGTTGTTGTTTGTTTTTTTGCCTGTGACTGTCCAATTGTTTCAGCACCATTTGTTGAAAAGACCATCTTTCCTCCATTGAATTGCTTTTGTACCTTTGCCAAAAATCAGGTGGGCACATTTGTGTGGGTATATTTCTGGATTCTCTGTTTTGTTCTATTGAACAGATTCTCTTGGTGTTTACCAATCTAC